TGAACAAACTTTTAGAAAAATTAATAGAAAATACTCAAACGGCTAAACAAGAAAATTTACAGAAAATTTCACAACACTTTATAATAGAAAAATTTACAAGCAAAAATACTAATGCAAATCAGTGGATGGAGATATTTGAAAAAAAGTGTTTACGCTTTGATATAACCAGTGATGAAAAAAAATTAAAATTCTTAGACTCTTCATGGATAAGTCAACTACAGACTGGTACAGCTCTATGTTAATAAAATTATCTCTAAACGCAGAGTGGTCAGTGTGGAAACAAAAATTTTGCGAGACATTTGCTAATAAAGGCTGGAGTCCAGTGATATATGCACTATTATTTAAATATAAGGAAGGATCACTACTTGATTATGCGATAAGAAAAGAAAAACTATTGTTAGATATGAGAAATTCTATAGATGCAGGAACATTAATAGATCTTATTGCAGCTGGATTACCACAGGTAATAATCAACAAAATNGATAGAGAAGCATTGAAAGATACAACAGATCTGCATAATGAAATTAGCAAATATGAGCACATAGTCAATAAAAAAAAAGTCTTTACAAAAAGAAGTGACACAATAAATACAAGGAAAGACAATGAAGAACATAAACCGTGTAAAAATTGTGANAAACTAGGAAAAACCAATCGTTATCATCCGGAGGAAAAATGCTCGTATAAACAAAAAAAACATGATCAAGAACAGAACATTTCGATAAAACATGTTAATAATTCGGAAATAGAAGCAGAATTAAATAACACGGATCAAAAAAACGACCAATAACACCATTAATCAAAATCAAATTACAGATAAATGATAAATGGACAATATTTGGAATATACGATTCAGGATCCAATGTTTCTATAATCAATTATAAATTACTAAGATTGAAACAAGAAGAAAATAACCTTAATAATGAAAATTTGATGACAATTAATGGTGTTAAAAAATCAAATGGTTTAACAAACCTAAAAATTAAGATCTTTGACATAGAAGAAAAAACAAATGTGGTAATTGTTGACGATGAAAACTTTAAATATGACTTTTTAATCGGACTCAACATGATAACAAAATTTAAATTATGTCAAGACGAAAATTTAAATATAACACAAAAAACTGATATAGAAAAAAGGACAAACAATAATAAAACAGAGAAAATTTCAGAGGAAATAAGGTCGGAGGTATCAGATATTAAAAAAGAAAATAAAAATACAAAAGAAATTTTAGTAAATTTCAATGAGCATATAAAAAAAGAAGATTTTGTCATAAATATGGAACACTTAACTCCATATTAAAGAAATAAAATAAAAGGAATATTAGAAATATATAAGTCAGTATTTGCCAGAAATAAATACAATATTGGCTCAGTGAAAAACTATGAAGCAAGAATAGACTTACTAGTTGATACATACTGTAGTAAGAGACCATATAGGTGCACTATAAAGGACAGAAAAAAAATTGAAGATCAAATATCTAAATTACTAGAGAAAAATCTTATAGAAGAATCCTACAGCCCATTTTCGGCACCAGTAATTCTCGCGCTTAAAAAAGAAGAAAACAAAAGATCTAGGTTATGTGTGGATTTTAGGGACCTAAATAAAA